TTTTTTGGTTTTTCGAGACAGGGATTCTCTGTGGTTTTGGAGCCTGTCCTGGAACTAGCTCTTGTAGACCAGGCTGGTCTCTAACTCACAGAGATCCGCCTGCCTCTGCCTCCCAAGTGCTGGGATTAAAGGCGGGCGCCATCACCGGCTAGGATGATGTTCTTGTAGGCATTTTGATGATACATTTATGGAATATCTTTAAAGGGTATAAACTCACAATAAAATTTTGTAAATTTAGTCATCAACTGTCCATTCAAATACGTGAAACCTTCAAATGAGCCACGTCTCCACCTGCAGACGGACTAGTTACAGAAGTTCATTCTGTTCTAACATTGATGCCAATACTCCTTAAGCCGAACTAATAGACATGACAATGGTCTTTATTTTGAAGTGATATAGAAGCATAAAAATAAAATAAAATTGAAGGCAACATTAATAAAATGTAGTTAGGTGACCTTTTACAGCTCAAAAAAAGTACTCAATGCAAATGTGTGTCAAGCAAATCTTAATGCAGCTGTATTTGAGTAAAGGTTAATGAGCTTTGTGATTTGAATATTACTAAGGTATCTTCAGAACCTGAGAATGTAGTCATGTGCTTTAATTATGTCATTCTTATATTGATTTTGCAAGTAAATATATATTTACTTGTGTGCATGCTTACTAATATAAATAGAAGGCAAATATGCTACATGAAAATATTTTTCATGAATTTCATTAAAGTATGATAGAATTCTGCTTTCAAAATGCTCTCATATTTGCAACATATTCCATCAAAAACTACAAGATAATTATTTTTTGGGGGGGAGGGAGGATGGGCTATTTATTTATTTGTTCATTCATTCATTCACTCACTCATTCATTCATTTATTTTACACCCTAACCCCAGTTTCCTCTCCATCCTCTCCTCCCATTAAGATAATTATTTTCGAGCCCTCTGGCTCTGGGCGAGAGTGTGAGTGGCTGGGAGCCGCCGGCGGAGCCGCGGACGGTTTGCTGAGCCCGTTAGTGCCGCCGCCATGTCCCGCTACCTGCGCCCCCCCAACACGTCTCTGTTCGTCAGGAACGTGGCGGACGACACCAGGTCTGAAGATTTACGTCGGGAATTTGGTCGTTATGGTCCAATAGTAGATGTTTATGTTCCGCTTGATTTCTACACTCGACGGCCAAGAGGATTTGCATATGTTCAGTTTGAGGATGTTCGTGATGCTGAAGATGCTTTACATAATTTGGACAGAAAATGGATTTGTGGGCGTCAAATTGAAATCCAGTTCGCACAGGGGGAT